TCAATGGGGTGGTGGGGGGAGGAAGGGGGGGTTGGGGGGAGTGTCACAGAGGGGGGGGGGGGGTGGCCTCCCCCACCGCCACGAGTCCGCGGCCGCAGCCCGGCTCTATGCTACGACAAATTCGGACTTGATGTCCGCTTTGACCTCCGGCTTCCAGACCGAGTCCTCGAAGTCCAGATCCAGGCTGCCCTCGCTGGAGACGCTGCTGTTGCTGTTGGTGCGGGAGGATTTGCGGTTGGGCAGCCAATGGTACGGAGCCCTGGCGTCCCTCCTGGCCTTCCTGCGCAGCCTTTTCTGCTGCATCAGCAGCTGCAGCCGCTCCACTTTGCAGCGCGTCGCACGGTTCTCCGTCTGCCGCAAGCGATCCCCTGCAAAGGGCACAGAGGTGTCACTGGGGGGGGTCCTGGGAAGCGGGGCTGGAGGGGTGCAGGGTCCACCTGCAGGGTGATGCGGGGTTTGGGGGTCTCTGCTGGGGTCCGGAAATGGGGACTGAAACCACGGCTGAGCTGTGGGGTGGAGCCTCTCCTTGTGCTGGGGGGGGAAATCTGTGCCCCATCCCTGCCCTCGCTGACACCAAGGCTGCAAACAGGGGATCCTGTGCACCTCACAGTGCGGTGGACCCAAACCTTCTGCTTGGCACCGCGCTGGCAGGACCCCTCCAGAAATAGAGGGCATCACCTGCTGGGCTCTGGGTGGGATGTTGTGTCAGGACTGAGAAGGGCTGTGCAGGTGGCCATAATAAAGGCCAGCTCCCCATTCTTGGGAATTCAACGCAGCTCAAACCAGAGCCCATGGAGGAGCACAGCTCTGTCCCCACCACCACAGTGCACTGTGCACAGGGTTTGCAGCCCTTATGTCAGTGAGGGCAGGGATGGGGCACAGCGCTCCCCCCCCCTGCCAGCACAGGGAGAGAAGGAAGAGAAAAAGTGAAGGGCAGAGCGAGACCCTTCAAGTTTCAGTTCTTTTCTCTATGCAAATCATGGTGATGGGGGAGGGAAGAGGGTGTGCACCCCCCCCCCCCAAGCACTGGGAGCCACCTGAGCATCTTGCCCCATCTCCCCCTCTGCAGAAACCCAGCCCAGAGGGTTGGGAATGGGAGGCTTAGGCAAGGAGTTGCATTCCTGTCTCCCCCCCACACACACCAGGGACAGCCCCAGCCCTGCAGGGGGGCACAGGGACACAGCCACCCACCCCACGCCACGTGCTGCAGGTTGGGGGCTGCCTACAGAGCGGCACCAAGATGTGCAGAGGGAAACAAGGTGGGGGGGGGGGGAGGGAGGGGGCAACAAGAGCTGCCCCCCCACCCATGGGATGAACCTGCTGTGCAGGTGGAAAGGATCCCAGCATACAGGAGGGGAAGGAGGAGGGTGAGAATCTGACAGCAGGATCCCAGCGCCGCGGGCAAGAGCTGCTCCCTACAGATGGGCAACGGCCTCGGTGCCCCCAGACCCATCCCCTCCGCTGCCCCCCAGGGCCATGCTCACCACTGGGCTTGCACATCCGGATCTGGCTTTGGCACTGGACGACGGGGTGCAGAGGAGCGGACGCTGCGGCCGCGGGCAGCGGCTCTGAGGTAGTTTTGGCGGTGAGGTCCGGGGATGCAGGCGGTGAGGAGGAGGATGAGGAGAACTGTGTCTGGCAGCGGAGCTGTGCCAGGGACTGCGGCATGCCCTGGTAGTGTCGCGTGGCGCTGAGGAGGTCGTTGAGGATCTGCAGGATGGTGCCGATGTCCCGTCGCGGCCGCCCGCTGCTGTCCTGGCAGTTGGGGTGCAAAGTGCCTGGGAGGGAGGAAGAGAGGAGATGTGAGCCCGGCAGCGTCCCAAATTCATGGCCCCCACCGGGAGCCCCCTGGCCATCAGCTGCACGTACCGGAGAAGGTCCCTGAGAAGACCCCAGGCGCGTGGTTGACGAAGCTCTCAATGACGGCCCCGGGTTTGCGGGAGCGGGCGCTCGGGGCAGGGCTGCTGCTGGGCGAGGAGCCGCCACGCATACTGCAGTCCACCTGCAGGGATGGATGGGGAAACACGGGGTCAGCACAGCCCTCGGCGCAGCCCTCTGCCCCCAAACCCCAGCCAGCACCCCCAGAGCCAGGGAACACCTCTAGATTTGGCAACAGAGGACGAGCAGCACTTGTCCTCAAAGCCGTGGGCACCGGCACCTTAAACGGCACCTTGAGCCCCTCAGAGCCCCAGCAGCCCACGTGGAGCCCAGACCCCAACTCACCTCTGAGCATGAGGACACCACGCTGCTGTTCACCGTCTGCGCGCTGGCCCCGTGCGACCGGAACATCCCAGCGGTGACAGGAGCGGGGTGGGGGGCGTTACAGTACACAGGGGGGGCCGGCGTGGCGGGTGTGGGGCTGGGAGCTGGGCTCTGCGGGCAGGCGGGCACCACGGGGATGCGGGCAAAGCCGGAGCCGGCGCTGCCATGCAGGGTCCGACAGTGGGGGCTGTTGGTGGCCCCCGCCTCGCCGCGGCTGGCGATGACGTGCCGGTGCTGGAGCTGCCCGCTGCTCTGCTGGGCCGCCAGCTGGAGCTGCACGAACATCATATGGTCGCCCACACGCAGCGCCAAGGTGAGCGGGGAACGGCCCGATAAGAAGTCATTGACCTGGGGGTGGAGAAGGAACACCGTCAGGCGCAGCGCAGGCACACGGCACGGAGCACTTCCCCGGTTGCAGACAAGGACAGCGCATCCCCCCAGCAGAGCCATGCGGTCACGGGGAGGAGGCTGTGGGGTGACCCCTTCCCCTCGGCCGCATGGGGCAGGCGGTGAGCAGCCGCGTCCCTGCACGACCCCAGCGCATTGCCAGCTCCATCAGCTGACAGCTCCATCCCTCCTGCCCCTCCACCCTCAGCTCCTGGCACAAAGCTGCTGCCTTGTGCCCGCCCTCCCCAGCGCCGAACCCACAGCGCCCGCAGGCAGGGCCGGGCTGGGGCTGATGCAGCTGTAAGACGGCCCCCCCAGCATCGACATGTGGGGTGGGTATGGGGAGCAATGAGGTTGGGGAGGACGCAGGTGAGGACATGCCAGGACCTTCCGTGCCCATCGCCGTGGCTCTGGGGTACTGAGGAGGGCAGCCCCAACCCCTCCCCAGCCTGCAGGATGGCCCCCGCACAGCCCTGAAGCAGCTGCAGGCAGGTGATGGAGCAGCTGCGGCGCAGAGATGAGAGTTGGGGCTGACCCTGTCCAGATTGCAGCACTGGGGGGAGGGTGGTGGCGTCGAGGGGGTGGTCTGATCCCCACCATCTGCTTCCCCTCCCCTCAGACCCATGCAGCATCTCCAGAAGCACAAAAAACAGGCACAGCTCCCAGCACTGCTCAGCATTCACTGGGGAGAGAGGAGGGAGGGGGGTAAAGCCTGCGACCCCTCCCACCCCCCCCCCCCCCCTCCCTTTCACCGCGGGGCCGCCCCCCCCCCCGGGGGGGGGGGGGGGGGGGGGGGGGGGGGGTTGACACCTCTCACCCCCCACGGCTGAAGGGCGCGGGCTCAGCAGTGCCGTGGGAGGACATCGGGTCACAGCTAATGGCGGTGACGCCACCGCCCCCCCCAGCACAGCTATTCCAGGGCACGGCCAGGACTGCCTTCCCCGGCCGTCACGTGCAGCTCCCAGCACACGTCACCCACCCACACCCCCCCCCCACCTCCCCTCCTGGGTCGCAGGGTGTGCTGGAGCCCCCGCTGTGCTCCACGCCCGCGCGCCTGCACGCCTGCCCACGTGTCCATCCTGGTCCCCGCTCGCCCCGTCCCACGGAGGCCGCTTCTGAGAAGCCGTGGGAAAAGCAGCTTTAAAAATACCCGCAGCAAAGCCCTGAGCGTGTCAGGCGGAGGCTGCAGAGGAAGAGGTGGGCGTGAAGGAGACACTGCAGCTCTGGACACGGAGGTTACGGGGCGAGGGGGAGGGAGCCGTGCACGTGGGCAGGCGTGCAAACACACGTGTGTGCAAAGCACCTGAACAAGGGCAGCAGCTCGATTCAACCCCCCCCCCC